AGGGACAGTAAACATGAAGAGACATCTGCAAACAGCAATCACTTCCTGTTATGTCAATGAAATGTGCTATTCACCAAGTAATGTAGCATTCCAGAAATTTGACTGACGAATGTACCATACTATGCTAACTTAGAAAGAGAAAGGGGGATTTTGGAGCTTTTGCAACTTACTAGTAAATAATCCTACCAAAATGTAACCTCTCAAAAAATGAGGCTGCTAAATTCTTTCAGGAGTCAAGTCCATTTCATCACTTATCTTATACAAGTACCCTATAAAGCACAGAATGTCATCGGGTGGTTAAAGTGGGCCTAGTATCAGATACATTTCCTTATCTTTACTGCAAGCATGACATTTAGGTGCATGGCACTTGCAAGCATGTTTTATCTTTCGGCAATCACAGTTCTCACCTCTTTCAATGCCCTCATCTTCGCACCCCCATTTCTGTACATCATTTGGGGTCAGCACCTCTGTCTTGAACCAAGATGCTGGCACCATACTGTAAATCACAGTGTCTGCGCAGTCTATGCACACTTACTGGCCACTTTATTAGGTACATCTTGCTAGTACCAGGAAAGACCCCCCTTTTCTCTTAAAAACGGTCTTAATTCCTCATGGCATAGATTCAACAAGATGCTAGAAACATTCCTTAGAGAGTCTGGTCCATATTGACATGATATCATCAAGCAGTTGTTGCAGATTTGTCAGTTACACATCCACGATGTTATCTCCCATTCCACCACATTCCAAAAGGTGTTCTATTGTATTGAGATCTGCTGACTGTGGAGGCCATTTGAGGACTGTTAAGTCATTATGTTCAAGAAACCAGTTTGAGAGGATTTTAGCTTTATGACATGTGTTATCCTGCTGGAAGTAGCCATCAGAAGGTATACACTGGTCAAAAGCGATAAACACTGTCAACAACAATACTCAGGTAGGCTGTGGCATTTAAACAATGCTCAACTGGTACTAATGGGTCCAAAGTGTGTCAAGGAAGTATCCCTCACATCACCAGCCTAAAAATCGAGACTCTTCAGACCAGGCAGGGTTTTTCAAATCTTCTATTGTTCAATTTTGGTCAGCCCTTGAGAATTGCAGCCTCAGTTACCTGTTCTTAGACAGGAGTAGCACCCGGTGTGGTCTACTGCTGCTGTAGCCCATCTTCTTCAAGGTGTTGTGCATTCTGAAATGCTTTTCTGCATACTTCGGTTGTAACAAGTTGTTATTGAGTTACTGTTGCCTTCCTTTCAGTTTGAACTAGTCTGGATGAAAATGCCTTGTTGATGTCAGAGGAGAATGGCCACACACCTGCAGCTCACTGGATATTTTTTGGACCACTCTCTGTAAATCCTAGAGATGGTTGTGTGTGAAAATCCCAGTAGATCAACAGTTTTTGAAATACTTAGAGCAGCCCGTCTGGCACCAACAACCATTGCACGTTCAAAGCCACTTAAATTCACCTTCCTTCTCCATTCTGATGCTCGGTTTGAATTTCAGGAGATCTTGACCATGTCTACATGCATTGAATTGCTGCCATTTGATTGATATTTGCGTTAATGAGCAGATGCATATGTGCACCCAATAAAGTGGCCAGTGGATGTATATAGATATTACAGTGACAGGCCAGTGTAAAATACAGTTGTGCTCACACAGCTCAGTCCCTCCGTAGATTCACCAATGTGAAAATCCCAACACATTCACGCACATGCTAGCCCCTTACTGCCTCAAATCCAGTGATTTTTCAGGGTACTAGACAGGACAAAGTAAAACACCGGGGGAGAAAACACAGAGGAAATGCTTCCTCCCCTACCTGTTGCACAATACATTGGGGGGAATTTATCAAAAGTGGAGCAAACAGAATCTGGAGCAGCACCAATCAGCACCTCTCTTCAGTTTGCCAAGGTAAGATTTAAAAAAAAAGAAAAAAAAAAAAGAGAGAAGCTGATTGGCTGCAGTGCAAATGTGCTCCAGATTTTGTCTGCTCCAGTTTTGATAAATTCCCCCAATTATGTCACTATTTGCGACCTCCAAACCTGTGTTGGTAAAATAGCAAGAGATCAAAAGTTATTTCCATAGTATTTTCTGTGGAGGTGGGCAGGGCTGTCTGAGGGCTAGACCTATGTCTTGAATCTTACGGCATACTAATCAGTAGTTAGGTCATTTCTATATATTTAGAGTTAATCTTACCAGTATGTGTATACCATAACTTCAGATAAGTCATATACATTATGAATAGCAGGATTCTTTCCAAAATAAGGCATCTAGGTTTAATGTGAAGTTATTGTATATGGCACATGTAACAACGTATTTGTGATAAAAAATATAACACCTAGATGTTAAGAATGTAAAAAAAAAAAATAGCAGTAACATATTATTGTAATAGTGCTATACAGGTATTTATATACCGCCGACAATTTACGCCGTGATTTACATTCTAAGGTCCCTATCTCACATGCATACATACATACATACATATGAGGCCCAATTTAGACAGGAGCCAATTAACCTTCCAGAATGTCTTTGGAGTGTGGGAGAAAACCCGAGTACCCGGAGAAAACACACGCAAAGCAGAGAGAACTTGAGTGCTGCAAGGAAGAAGTGCTAACCACAACACCACTGAGCTGCCCACAAGGCACACATTAGGCAGAATAAAGTTACCATAACAAGAAAAAACATCAGTTCCCACTTTATTGTACATTTATTGAATAAAACAAGGTTTCATAATTCAGGGGTACAAAGCAGTAAATTGCACGTGGACACAATTATTCCATTGCAGGAGTTTACTGAAAAGTCCACTAATAGTGTCAACCATATAGAGCACTAAACCAATAAGCACATATAGATGACATTTGAATAGCTTCAATGAAAGGGCAATAGAAAAAAGGATGGACCGGGAAGGAGGTGATAGGTCCTTCCAATAAGTGGGGTTATTGTGTAGTGTGAGGTAGGGGTGGCAGTGATTAGGATCTGTTAACCACTTGCTGACGGGTGTTAAACCCCCTTCCTCTACAGGCCATTTTTCAGTATTCAGTGCTGTGGTACTTTGACATTTATTCAGTTATGCAACGCTGTACTGAAATTTTATACCATTTTTGTGGACAGATAAAGCTTTATTTTGGTGGTATTTAATCACCACTGGGGTTTTATTTTATTTTACTACATAATGAAAAAAGAACCAAAAATTAAAAAAAAGTTTTCCCCACATTATGTTATAAAACATTTATCAGCAGCCACATTTTTGGTACAATATAAAAAGTGGGGTTACGTCGGGTAAATAAACCCCAAACATGTCCAGCGCTGCCTGGAGGAGCGGACAGGGGAGGGGGCGGATATAGCTGGCTCTGCCTCTAGATAGGCAGAACCAGCTGTCACTCACAGAGCTGGGTGGATCCAGACAGCAATGTCAGAATCCGTCCCGGCTGCGGCATCTCAGTATACCACGAGCTGTGGCTCGCGGTATACTGAGCTTTGGGTGACGGGAGGACGCTAGTTTGTGTCCTCCAGTTACCCTTAGGAGAACTATGGGGAAAAGCCCAGACCCTATAGTTCTCCTTTAATGTATTTTTTTATTTTTAACTCCTGAGTTTAGTATCACTAACATTTACCACTACAAGGCCCACTTTGTCCTGAAAACAAGGGTGATTCACCTGGATACAGCAGTTATAGTTGCAAAAATATGTACAGTTTTACTAACACATTAAAGTTGCAAAACTTGGTTAGGGCATTAAGGTTTGTGTTGCCTTCATCATTAAGGGGCTTTTTTCTAATGGCCAATGACTCTGCACTTTTAAGCATCAGAAATAAAAAACTGTCCAGCTACACTCTTCAGGTGTTTTTTGCAAAATCTGCTATTTTTCAAACTATGCCATATGCAAGCATTCTACATCAGCTTGCTCTATTCCTTTAAACCTTCATTACGCAAAGATCATATTTATGACCAACTTCCTATAATCAAAGAAAGGAAAAATCAAGCTCCAATGATGCACGCTGCATGCTGTTACAGCATAACATGGTATTCCCGCTGAGCTACTCAGCAGCAGCCCCATTCATTACTGGATGCATAAAAAAAAAATGATACATTTAACCATTTCAAAGTCTACAAAAGAAAGCATATACATTTCCCACACAACTAGTATCACGATGCTTAAAAGCAGAATTTTATATATTTTTAATACAAACACTCAGAAATTACAAGTTACAAATCATGCAAATCTGTGTTACCCTTTGCCTTAGCCATACACCATCTTGCCTAGTATGTTCTTCAGGATTAGTGGGATGAAGTGGTGCTACCATCTGAGGGAAATGATGCAATTATTCCCTTATTGCCTGACAGGAAGTTCATTTTTTTTTTCTTTGTTGGAAACTGGGTTGTGTTTTCCTTTTGGGATTAAGGTTTTACATAAATGCATAAAAGCAGACAATTAAACACCTGTCAGTGTTAAATGGCGAAACCACCAGGTGAAAAAATCCAATCCAACACC